GTTCTTTTTATGAAAAATGTTTTTTTTTTAGTTCAAATTTTATTACCCTCTTTTAGAGAAATTTGTTCAAAATAAAGAGAAACCTTTTATAAAAATTCCAAAAAATATTCTATTTTCTTAGAAACTACTTCCAAAATTAAAATACAAAAAAAAAATAATTTATTAATAAAAAAACCCTTGCAACCCCATTGTTTCACTCCCTTTCAATAATTTTATTAAACTTTTCTTCTACTAACAAATCTTTCATTAACGCCTCAGATTTATCATTAGCAATCATATTTCATCTTAATTTTTTGTTCTAAGATTAATTGCTGAGATTATTTATCTCTCTGTTTCTTATTTTTATTGAGTGTAAAAATCTAAAAAAATTACCAACTATTTAAGAAAAAACTTATAAATTTATCACAAAACATGATGACAACTCTCTAGATAAAATAACCAAAAAATAATAAAAGTATAAAATAAAAAAAAAAAAAAATCATACATTATTTCTATGACAATAAAATTCTTAATTGCTGCTAGTTTTTTCTTTTTCTGATTGTTTCTTCTTGAAACCCTAAAAATTTCACAAATAATTAACTTCTTTACGAGTGGAGATTTAGACGAAATATAAAAGAAAAAATAATAATAAAATACATCTTCAATCTTAGTACTTAGTAATTTATTATATGGACTGTAGTAGTTGATAGTGGATTTAATATCAACGTTAAAACATCTTAAATGACCACAAATGATTCTAGATTAAATATTTTATTGCACAAAGTACTACAACAAAACTAATGCCACTACTATTACTTGTGCTAATACTAATACATAGTATTATAACAACGTATATAATACTACAACTACATACATCATTACACATCCATAATCATGTAGTAGTTTGTGTATGTATGTAAGTTTTTACACACATCCTTTTCCTGTCATTCTATGGAATAAAATAAATTGTTATCTGTAAGTTAAATCTAATACCAAGACCACAACTTTGTTGATTGCCAAAAATTAGCTGGACTTTTCTAAAAATGCTATAGAGAGTAAAAGAGGATTATTCTTTTTGTCTTTTTTTGTATAAACTTAATACATTTATACACACACAAATACACTTGGATTTAATAGGAACATATGTATGTATGAATACAGAAGTAGCCAAAAAGGTTGAAGAAAAAGGAAGTGAAAAAGAAAATGTTTACACACACACATAAAGTTTTTATAGCCCACATTTGGGTGTAACAAAATAGCAGAAAATATATTTCAATAAACATTTTTATTTAGCTCATTTTCTAGTTATAAACTCCCTTACTGCTGCCTTTACATTATAAGATTGCGTTTTATTTACTCTCTCAAAATTATTTGTAACAAATGTTATTTAGAGATGTATTAATTTGAAATACCAGTTACATTCCTAACTTCCAAAATTTTACACTTCACTAGGGATCTATATTACCTACAATCATTATGAGCAAACATATGATTACACTATATTTTAGTACAGTTGGTACATTTCATGATATCAACTAATTTTTCCGAATTCTTTACTCGCCTGCTTTTTTGTTTACACACAACCTGTTTCTTTATATAAATGTGTGGTATTCTGACTTTTTTAGCAATATTATTTGAGTCCTTTTTCTGTGAGTATGGGTGTATCTTTGTGTGTAGTCCGTTCAACCGTAGAAGTGTTAAGCGATGTGTTAAAGTATTTAAGTTGTTGAAAATAAATTAATATTTTAGTGTTAAAGTGCGTAGGTTTTAGACAATTCTTAAGTCCATATGATTAAAACAGTTTTTATTGGAAATAGTACAGTTCTAGTTCAGTTTTAGTTCAGTTTTAGTTCAGTTCTAGTTCAGTTCTAGTTCAGTTCTAGTTCAGTTCTAGTTCAGTTCTAGTTCAGTTCTAGTTCAGTTCTAGTCAGTTCTAGTTCGGTTATAGTTCAGTTCTAGTTCGTCTAGTTCAGTTCTAGTCAGTTCTAGTTCAGTCAGTTCTAGTTCAGTTCTAGTTCAGTTCTAGTTCAGTTCTAGTTCAGTTCTAGTGCAGTTCTAGTTAGTTCTAGTCAGTTCTAGTTCAGTTCTAGTTCAGTTCTAGTTCAGTTCTAGTTCAGTTATAGTTCAGTTCTAGTTCAGTTCTAGTTCAGTTCTAGTTCAGTTCTAGTTCAGTTCTAGTTCAGTTCTAGTTCAGTTCTAGTTCAGTTCTAGTTCAGTTCTAGTTCAGTTCTAGTTCAGTTCTAGTTCAGTTCTAGTTCAGTTCTAGTTCAGTTCTAGTTCAGTTCTAGTTCAGTTCTAGTTCAGTTCTAGTCAGTTCTAGTTCAGTTCTAGTTCAGTTCTAGTTCAGTTCTAGTTTCAGTTCTAGTTCAGTTCTAGTCAGTTCTAGTTCAGTTCTAGTTCAGTTCTAGTTCAGTTCTAGTTCAGTTCTAGTTCAGTTCTAGTTCAGTTCTAGTTCAGTTTCTAGTTCAGTTCTAGTTCAGTTCTAGTTCAGTTCTAGTTCAGTTCTAGTTCAGTTCTAGTTCAGTTCTAGTTCAGTTCTAGTTCAGTTCTAGTTCAGTTCTAGTTCAGTTCTAGTTCAGTTCTAGTTCAGTTCTAGTTCAGTTCTAGTTCAGTTCTAGTTCAGTTCTAGTTCATTTCTAGTTCATTCTAGTTCAGTTCTAGTTCAGTTCTAGTTCAGTTCTAGTTCAGTTCTAGTTCAGTTCTAGTTCAGTTCTAGTTCAGTTCTAGTTCAGTTCTAGTTCAGTTCTAGTTCAGTTCTAGTTCAGTTCTAGTTCAGTTCTAGTTCAGTTCTAGCAGTTCTAGTTCAGTTCTAGTTCAGTTCTAGTTCAGTTCTAGTTCAGTTCTAGTTCAGTTCTAGTTCAGTTCTAGTTCAGTTCTAGTTCAGTTCTAGTTCAGTTCTAGTTCAGTTCTAGTTCAGTTCTAGTTCAGTTCTAGTTCAGTTCTAGTTCAGTTCTAGTTCAGTTCTAGTTCAGTTCTAGTTCAGTTCTAGTTCAGTTCTAGTTCAGTTCTAGTTCAGTTCTAGTTCAGTTCTAGTTCAGTTCTAGTTCAGTTCTAGTTCAGTTCTAGTTCAGTTCTAGTTCAGTTCTAGTTCAGTTCTAGTTCAGTTCTAGTTCAGTTCTAGTTCAGTTCTAGTTCAGTTCTAGTTCAGTTCTAGTTCAGTTCTAGTTCAGTTCTAGTTCAGTTCTAGTTCAGTTCTAGTTCAGTTCTAGTTCAGTTCTAGTTCAGTTCTAGTTCAGTTCTAGTTCAGTTCTAGTTCAGTTCTAGTTCAGTTCTAGTTCAGTTCTAGTTCAGTTCTAGTTTCAGTTCTAGTTCAGTTCTAGTTCAGTTCTAGTTCAGTTCTAGTTCAGTTCTAGTTCAGTTCTAGTTCAGTTCTAGTTCAGTTCTAGTTCAGTTCTAGTTCAGTTCTAGTTCAGTTCTAGTTCAGTTCTAGTTCAGTTCTAGTTCAGTTCTAGTTCAGTTCTAGTTCAGTTCTCTAGTTCAGTTCTAGTTCAGTTCTAGTTCAGTTCTAGTTCAGTTCTAGTTCAGTTCTAGTTCAGTTCTAGTTCAGTTCTAGTTCAGTTCTAGTTCAGTTCTAGTTCAGTTCTAGTTCAGTTCTAGTTCAGTTCTAGTTCAGTTCTAGTTCAGTTCTAGTTCAGTTCTAGTTCAGTTCTAGTTCAGTTCTAGTTCAGTTCTAGTTCAGTTCTAGTTCAGTTCTAGTTCAGTTCTCAGTTCTAGTCATTCTAGTTCAGTTCTAGTTCAGTTCTAGTTCAGTTCTAGTTCAGTTCTAGTTCAGTTCTAGTTCAGTTCTAGTTCAGTTCTAGTTCAGTTCTAGTTCAGTTCTAGTTCAGTTCTAGTTCAGTTCTAGTTCAGTTCTAGTTCAGTTCTAGTTCAGTTCTAGTTCAGTTCTAGTTCAGTTCTAGTTCAGTTGAGTTCAGTTTAGTTCAGTTGTAGTTCAGTTGTAGTTCAGTTCTAGTTCAGTTCTAGTTCAGTTCTAGTTCAGTTCTAGGTCAGTTCTAGGTCAGTTCTACTTCGTTGTAGGTCAGTTCTAGTTCAGTTCTAGTTCAGTTCTAGTTCAGTTCTAGGTCAGTTCTAGGTCAGGTCTAGTTCAGTTCTAGTTCAGTTCTAGTTTAGTTCTAGTTCAGTTCTAGTTAAGTTCTAGTTCAGTTCTAAGTTCTACTTCAGTTCTAGTTTTTGATAATTATACCATATACCACTATAGTGGTGAGGGGCGTTAGTGCTGATGTTTGTAACACCCAAAAAAATTGGTCCTACAAGCACCTCAGGATCACTTTCTTAGTCGATTTAGCTATGTCCGTCTATCCGTCTGCCTGTCCGTCTGTGTGTTCATGTAAACCTTGTGCACACGCTACGTTTCGCAATTTTGAGGATAATTTTATTAAATTTGTCGTATTCTCTTCTTTTGAGGACGAAGCCTATTAAAAGTGGTTAAAATTGTGCCCATTATTACGCATGACCCCCATACAATCGTACCCCCGAATATTTCATTTGAGCTCAAAAATTTGGTAAATGTTTTTGTATTTTAAAATTTGAGAAACTTAGTTTTATATAAGTCTTAATGATAATGCTGATTTTCGTTATGATCTGGCCTCATTTGATGCTATCCCCCATATAAAGTGCCCTTCAGAAAATGACTTGATGTTCAAAATTCACTTATAAACAATAGTATCGCGATGATATTCTGCATAAATAACTTTAATGTAGACGTAAATTCCTCTACCAAAATGTATAAGGATAGGTCATTATTAACCCCCTCTCCACCATATAACCCCACTTTTAGAAAATCATTTTAATTTTGTCAACAAATTCTTAACATAGTTCTGAATTAACGTAAAAATTAAATTAAATACTTTATTATTACAAAATAATCAGTCACTGGTGTAGGCTATCATATGGTCGGCAGACTATAAATTCTAACTTGTTTTTTTATTTCTCTTTTACCGTAATTTTTGATAAAACTATTTATAAAAGTAAAATTTTTTAAATATTTTCGATTTAAACAAAATTGTACTTTTTCTTTTCAGAATTTTGCTATTCATTCTCATACCTATCCTTGGTATCATTCGAAAACTATATGCGCCCTGGTAACGTATGAGTGTTATTGTTATAGTTTTTAAGCAAATATTAAGTATACTCTAAGGGGTTCTGTTTAGTAGTATACTATACATTAGGGTGGGTCGAAAATAGGCTTTTCGCTCGGATCAACTTCTAATAGAGAAATTAAGTTTTTTCACAAAATGAGGCTTTAAGTATTAATTATTGCACAATTTTATAGCAAAATCGTAGTGTCTACAAAAAAAAAAAAAGATGGAAAAACTCAAAATTGGTTAAAAAATGGTTGAGTTATTAAAATTTCCCCCGAGAATTTTGTGATTCTGAAGACATGTAAAAGTAAATATAAGAAAATTTGTTTTAGTTTTGAAACATGTTACAAACAAATATTATGTTTATCTTTATAAGATTCATAAATGTGCTAGTACGAATTTTTGTTCAAATTGGATAACGCTTACTTGGTTTAGTCTGTGGTCAAAAAAGGGCCATTATTTTAACAGCATCTCCAAAACTCCATTTTCAAACTTTAAAAAATTTTTGTTAAATTGATTATTAAGAATTAAAGTTTTCTATACTGGATATTATAAAGGATATATATAAGAATTAAACACAGAAAGAATGAACTCAATACCTCTCATAGTTTTACCGTACCTGCGATGTGAAATTGAAGGATTTCGGGAAAAAGGCAGTTTTTGCCATTAAATAAGTAAAAATTATATTATTACCAATTGTTGCTTAATTTTGATCAATTAAATTGCGATTATTATTTCCGAGTCCATGAAAAGTTATTTCTGATAAAACTTCCGAAATTAACAATCATTAACCCTCTAAAAACCGAGGTCAAAATCAAGTTTTTGTATATTTAATATTCTTCATTAAAAATAGCAAAATATTGTGTATTTAATTATGAATTCATTTTCATATTTAATTATGAATTCAGAAATTTAGGAATCAAACTTCTTCAAAAATTAACCCTCTGTCATACTTGGTGTCAATTCAAGACCGATTTTTTTAAACACTACAAAAAACACTTTTAAAAAGGAATTTTTTTAAATTAATTTTCTTAAAGAATTAATGGATATATATCCAGTATTTGGTTTCATAAATATCCATCAACAAATTAACAACATCATGCTCTTGATTTTGACCCCGGTGTTTAGAGGGTTAATGATTTTTAGTTTCGGAAATTTGATCAGAACTAACTTTCCATGGACTCGGAAATAATAATCGCAATTTACTTGATCAAAATTAAGCAACAATTGGTAATAATATAATTTTTACTTAATTATTGGCAAAAATTGCCTTTTTCCCAGGGGCCGTAACAGTTATAAGTTATATCAAAAAAGTTAATTTATAACAGTTATTTTGTGACTTTAAAAATAAAAATCCATCTGAAAAAGTTATTTTTCAACCTAAAAATAAAAATTCAAATGAAACTTTTAAAAGTTTAAAATAAAAATTATTTGAGGAGTTTAATTTTTTCCGTCAGAAAATAATACTTATTTGAGGAGTTTTATTTTTTCCGTCAGAAAATTACAAATTGATACATATTAAAGAAAATTTTCCAAAATCTTCTCTTTTTATAGAAAATATTCAATAAATGATATATTTTTATAATACTATACTGAGATGTAGTATACAAACAAATTCATTAAAGCCGCCTATAAAATTCTCCTACTTGTTAACAATAACTTTAGGTATTCGTTTATTTGTTAGTGAGTGTGAGTGAGTTGAGCATTTGTTGTTTTTCTCTCCTTGATAACCATCATTATTGTCTTGTTTTTCTTCTATTTTTTAAGACTTTAATGTGTCTTGAATTGATGTTGTTGTCTTGTCATCTACTACTACTACAAGTAATTTATGTGTGTGTGTTTCTATATGCGTAAGTAAGAGTGTGTGTGTGTATAAGTTGTTTTATATTTCTTTCAACATTAATAAAAAACATGACCAACATGATTTAACGTCTCAGTGATTTTGTGTGTTTTTCTTAAGATTTTGTGGTAGAGATTTCTTAAGTTTATTACTTTTGTTGTTTTTATGTTTTTTTGCTTTTTATCACTTGGCAATTTGTTGTGGTAGTCAAAAAAAATGATCAATCAGCTCACATTTTAAGGCAAATTGTTTAATAACAGGCCATTTGAGTAAAAAACTACAGAACATTATTAGCATTTTAACACTAAAATAAAAACTAAATTGCTCAACATTAAAGGAAATTGTCGGAGTAGAATCTATGACTCTTTTAAGAAATCAAAAAAATTAACATATAAATAGTTTAAATAAAATATATTTAAATTAATGTATCTAACTTACCGCCTTTAACATGAACCTCCCGACTTAACACAGTGCCGACAAGATTTCTTAATTTACATCTGAAAACAATAAGAAATATTTAAAATCTTTAATCATATTTTATTTCTCTTAATAAACTTAACAGAAACAAACAAAAATTAAAAAAAAAAAAACATGCAAAAAGTACCAAAAAAAAAACTGTTAACCATACCTATAAACACTAGAATGAACTTCATGGCGAAATTTTTCAGCTGTAAATGGATAAAACATTAAGCTGCCATTGGATGTCTGCACCACCATGTCCTGTTGTGGTGGTATGGGAGTCCATTCGACCTTAAAAGAGAAAGAGAGAAAAAAAAACAAAAAAAAATATGAAAAAATATTCCCTAAATGAAATCTAAAAAATATTAATGTCTTAAAACAAGCGAAAATGACAAAACAAAAATTCTTATCCTTAAGCCGTATAAACGAAAGGTATAAAATGTTCAGGCAAAGAAAACTCATTTATTTAATTTAATTAAAAAATTTAACTGTAGGAAAAACCTTTATTAAAATGTCCTTAATAAGTGACATTTTCTATGTGAAAAATTAATGGTGAAAAACTTTTTGTTTTTAATTTTCTAAATGCTTATTAATTTTCTTCACATAATTAAATTTAATATTCTGTTATAAATTTATTGCATTTTGTGGTTCAGGTTTCCATTTGTAAGTGAACACATACTTAGTTATATTACATATAAAAATGTTCTTAATTAATTCTGTTCTACTTCTGTTCTGTTCTAGTTCTAGTTCTGTTCTAGTTCTGTTCTAGTTCTGTTCTAGTTCTGTTCTAGTTCTGTTCTAGTTCTGTTCTAGTTCTGTTCTAGTTCTGTTCTAGTTCTGTTCTAGTTCTGTTCTGTTCTGTTCTAGTTCTGTTCTAGTTCTGTTCTAGTTCTGTTCTAGTTCTGTTCTGTCTGTTCTGTTCTAGTTCTGTTCTAGTTCTGTTCTAGTCTGTTCTAGTTCTGTTCTAGTTCTGTTCTAGTTCTGTTCTAGTTCTGTTCTAGTTCTGTTTAGTTCTGTTCTAGTTCGTTCTAGTTCTGTTCTAGTTCTGTTCTAGTTCTGTTCTAGTTCTGTTCTAGTTCTGTTCTAGTTCTATTCTAGTTCGTTCTAGTTCTGTTCTAGTTCTGTTCTAGTTCTGTTCTAGTTCTGTTCTAGTTCTGTTCTAGTTCTGTTCTAGTTCTGTTCTAGTTCTGTTCTAGTTCTGTTCTAGTTCTTCTAGTTCTGTTCTAGTTCTGTTCTAGTTCTGTTCTAGTTCTGTTCTAGTTCTGTTCTAGTTCTGTTCTAGTTCTGTTCTAGTTCTGTTCTGTTCTAGTTCTGTTCTAGTCTGTTCTAGTTCTGTTCTAGTTCTGTTCTAGTTCTGTCTAGTTCTGTTCTAGTTCTGTTCTTAGTTCTGTTCTAGTTCTGTTCTAGTTCTGTTCTAGTTTGTTCTAGTTCTGTTCTAGTTCTGTTCTAGGTCTGTTCGATTCTGTTTCTAAGGTTCTGTTGCTAGTTTCTGGTTCTAGTTCTGTTTCTAGTTCGTTCGTTCTAGATTCTGTTCTAGTTCTGTTCTAGTTCTGTTCTATTCTGTTCTAGTTCTGTGCTCGTTCTGTTCTCTAGTTCTTTTCTAAGTTCTGTTCAGTTCTGTTCTAGTGCTTTCTAGTTCTGGTCGAGTTCTGTTTCCTAGTTCCTGTTCAGTTCTGTTCTAGTTCAGTGCTGTTCATCTTCTAGTTCAGTTCTTAGTTCTTTCTAGTTCTGTTCTAGTTCTGGTTCTAAGTTCTGTTCTAGTTCTGTTCTAGTTCTGTACTAGTTCTGTTCTAGTTCTGTTCTAGGTCGTTCAGTCTGTGCTAGTTCTGTTCTAGTTCTGTTCTAGTTTGTTCTAGTTGTTCTAGTTCAGTTCTAGTTCAGTTCTAGTTCAGTTCTAGTTCTGTTCTAGTTCTGTTCTAGTTCTGTTCTAGTTCTGTTCTAGTTCTGTTCTAGTTCTGTTCTAGTTCTGTTCTAGTTCTGTTCTAGTTCTGTTCTAGTTCTGTTCTAGTTCTGTTCTAGTTCTGTTCTAGTTCTGTTCTAGTTCTGTTCTAGTTCTGTTCTAGTTCTGTTCTAGTTCTGTTTAGTTCTGTTCTAGTTCTGTTCTAGTTCTGTTCTAGTTCTGTTCTAGTTCTGTTCTAGTTCTGTTCTAGTTCTGTTCTAGTTCTGTTCTAGTTCTGTTCTAGTTCTGTTCTAGTTCTGTTCTAGTTCTGTTCTAGTTCTGTTCTAGTTCTGTTCTAGTTCTGTTGTAGTTCTGTTGTAGTTCTGTTCTAGTTCTGTTCTAGTTCTGTTCTAGTTCTGTACTAGTTCTGTTCTAGTTCTGTTCTAGTTCTGTTCTAGTTCTGTTCTAGTTCTGTTCTAGTTCTGTTCTAGTTCTGTTCTAGTTCTGTTCTAGTTCTGTTCTTTTTCTGTTCATTTTCATTTCGACTAAAGTATTTTGTTACTCACCTCCGGTGGCGGACTGCCGTGTCCTGAACATTCAATAAGTCCACCTGAGTTATTTGAGAATTCAACACGATGTGCGGGTTCGTGAAGAAACACTGGTCCTTGTAAATCCAAACCATTAATGCCAATGAATAGGTGAGCTGCGAAAAAGAAAAATAAGAAAACATAAATATGTATTTTATATTTAATTACATTTATTTTAATGAGCATTAGTTTGGCGGTTTTTGCAGACAGACGAATTTTGTGTGTTTTTGTCATTTAAGGAGTATTATTTAAAATAAATGCGGTTTTATGTTTTCATCTTAAGCATTTAAATTATTTCTTAGTATACACACCTAACTATGTTTACAAAATTTAGGCCAAATCAAATTTTCTAAAAACGTTTAAGGGTGTTACTTAAATATAAGTTTAATTTATAAATAATTTAAATTGTTGCGCAAACAACTAAAACTTGAAAACTGTTTTTCCATGATGTTAGATTTTAAAAAATAATAAAATTTTTGATATCAAGGGACACCCTTGAATGTGAGTTGTTTTATAAATTCTTGACAAAAATTGTGTTTTCACTCTTCGTTTTCTCTTTAGCGCCAACCGCAAAATAACAAGTTGGTATAGAAACCTAAAAACAACATGAAGGATGAAAAAAAAACTTAAATAGATACAAACATAAAGGCGGTTTGTTTAATTTCATTGTAGCCTTAATGAAAAAAGTTTATAAAATGGTTGTTCCTTGTTAATGCATTTTATACAACTACTTTGTTTTAATGAAGCTGACTAACAGGGATTGGCCATGATAAAAAGGACGAACATTTGTGGTTGTTTTTATAAAAAAATAAGTTAAGATTATGGTGAGTTTCTAAAAAGTAACCAAATTAAAGGTCTTTAATTAGATTAATATACATTAAAAACAGGAGAAATTCCATCAACTATAGAATATCATAAGATCACTCTGATTCCAATAGTTCTACAAATGTTCTTTCTTAATTGTTGCATTTAAACTTTAAACATTGCAGAAAAAAATTGTTGTTTTTAAACAAACTTCTACTTATGACCTTTTTTCTATCTTATACACAATAACTTATAATAAAAAACTGCTGCAAATTATAAAAAGCTCTACATTAGTCATGGTTACGGATGCGAATATACATCTAGCATGAATGAGTTGGAAAAACTTTTTTTTCCACTTCTCTAGTTTTGCAATCAATCAAAGTCCATTCATTTTAATGGATTTTTTTTATTCAGGATTTTGCAGGTTGTATTTGTTTCTATAATAAACTTTATGCTAAATGTTTAAATGAATTACAAATTAAATTAAAATAAAAATAGAACAAAAATACTAAATGCATTTATGTTCGCTTCACATGTCCAAGTTGAGAGCAAAAAAAATGAACAAAATAATAAATCTATAAGTAAAAGTTCTAAAACTTTTTTTATATATACGAAAACACATGCGAGTGACTTTTGAGAACTTGTAGACAGTTTTGACTGATTATAATTTATTAGTTAATTAGAGAAAATGTAAATGTAAAAAAAGGAAATAATTGTGTCAACTAGAAAATTTTGTTTTAAATCTAACATTAAAATGTAACATCATTTTAGTTGTCAGTTATTTCTCTAAACTATGTAGATGTTATCTTAAAACAAGTAAGAGTTCTATATTCGGCTGTGCCGAATCTTATTTACACTTCACCATAGCGCGTTAAACAAAAACAGTCAATTCTCAATTTCTAAGTTCAATATTATAGAAAATGAAAAAAGTACCTTTTAAAGAACAAAAAAGTACCAAAATGTCCCCTTTTATATGTTCTCACTTACTCTGGGTTGTACATGCTTAATTTCATGCTTCAAGGGTTCAATTTTATAGAAAATTCAAAAAGTACCTTTTGAAGAACAAAAAAGTACGAAAAATTCCCATTTTATTGGTTTTCACTTAATCCGGCTCTACTTAATTTCATGTTTTAAAGTTCAATACTATAGAAAATTCAAAAAGTGCCTTTTGCAGAACAAAAAGTACCAAAAAGTCCCCTTTTATATGTTCTCACTTACTCCGGACTGTACATGCTTAATCTCATGCTTCTAAGTTCAATACAATAGAAAAATCAACAAGTACCTTTTGTACAACAAAAAGTACCAAAAAGTCCCCTTTTATTGGTCCCCACTTAATCTGGGCTCTACGTGCTTAATTTCATGTTTCTAGGTTCAATACTATAAAAAAACAAAAGGTACCTACCTACCTTCTGAAGATGAAAAAGTACAAAAAAGGCCAATTTTATAAGTTCTTATTTACTCGGGGTTCTACATGCTTAATTTTATGTTTCTAGGTTGAATATTATAAAAAAATTCAATAAGTACCTTTAGAGGTACCCTTGCTGATTTATAATAGGAAACTTCTCGAATGTATGTCTGAAAGAATTGTTGAAGATGTGGATCTTGAAGATATCTGGGGTCTTCAGAAAATTAATTTCAACATACATACTGACAGAGACACAGATAGACGGACGGACATAGCGTAATCGGCTCCGCTATCTATAAGGACTCGGAATATATATACTTTACTGTCCTATCGATCACTTTTCTATAGAAAACTGTCCTGTCGATCATTTTTCTATAGAAAACTGTCCTGTCGATCATTTTTCTATAGAAAACTGTCCTGTCGATCATTTTTCTATAGAAAACTGTCCTGTCGATCATTTTTCTATAGAAAACTGTCCTGTCGATCACTTTTCTATAGAAAACTGTCCTGACGATCACTTTTCTATAGAAAACTGTCCTGACGATCACTTTTCTATAGAAAACTGTCCTGACGATCACTCTTCTATAGAAAACTGTCCTGACGATCACTTTTCTATAGAAAACTGTCCTGACGATCACTTTTCTATAGAAAACTGTCCTAACGATCACTTTTCTATAGAAAACTGTCCTGACGATCACTTTTCTATAGAAAACTGTCCTGACGATCACTTTTCTATAGAAAACTGTCCTGACGATCACTTTTCTATAGAAAACTGTCCTGACGATCACATTTCTATAGAAAACTGTCCTGACGATCACTTTTCTATAGAAAACTGTCCTGACGATCACTTTTCTATAGAAAATTGTCCTGACGATCACTTTTCTATAGAAAATTGTCCTGACGATCACTTTTCTATAGAAAACTGTCCTGACGATCACTTTTCTATAGAAAACTGTCCTGTCGATCACTTTTCTATAGAAAACTGTCCTGTCGATCGCTTTTCTATAGAAAACTGTCCTGACGATCACTTTTCTATAGAAAACTGTCCTGTCGATCACTTTTCTATAGAAAACTGTCCTGTCGATCACTTTTCTATAGAAAACTGTCCTGACGATCACTTTTCTATAGAAAACTGTCCTGACGATCACTTTTCTATAGAAAACTGTCCTGACGATCACTTTTCTATAGAAAACTGTCCTGTCGATCACTTTTCTATAGAAAACTGTCCTGTCGATCACTTTTCTATAGAAAACTGTCCTGTCGATCACTTTTCTATAGAAAACTGTCCTGTCGATCACTTTTCTATAGAAAACTGTCCTGTCGATCACTTTTCTATAGAAAACTGTCCTGTCGATCACTTTTCTATAGAAAACTGTCCTGTCGATCACTTTTCTATAGAAAACTGTCCTGTCGATCACTTTTCTATAGAAAACTGTCCTGTCGATCACTTTTCTTTAGAAAACTGTCGATCACTTTTCTATAGAAACCTGTCCTGTCGATCACTTTTGTAAAGAAAACTGTCCTGTCGATAACTTTTCTATAGAAAACTTCACTGTCGATCACTTTTCTATAGAAAACTTCACTGTCGATCACTTTTCTGTAGAAAACTTCACTGTCGATCACTATTCTATGGAAAACTGTCCTGTCGATCACTTTTCTATAGAAAACTCTCCTGTCGATTACTTTTCTATAGAAAACTGTCCTTTCGCTCACTTTTCTATAGAAAACTGTCCTTTCGCTCACTTTTCTATAGAAAACTGTCCTGTCGATCACTTTTCTATAGAAAACTGTCCTGTCGATCACTTTTCTATAGAAAACTGTCCTGTCGATCACTTTTCTATAGAAAACTGTCCTGTCGATCACTTTTCTATAGAAAACTGTCCTGTCGATCACTTTTCTAAAGAAAACTGTCCTGTCGATCACATCTCTATAGAAAGCTGCCCTGTCGATCACTTTTCTATATATACTTTATGGTATACCAAACATCAGAATAAACGCATAATAGCCTCCCCATTATAGTGGTGTAGGGTATAATTACAAACGAAATGACCTTCTCACGAAGATGAAGGGTACACAAATTTGTAAAATTAAGTTTTAATGTAATTTCTTTTTTCATCATTATTCGTACAGACAAATATTAAGCAGACAAACTGTACCTATGTACAATGTATGTACTTCTTATTGATCACTGAGTAACAAAAAAAAAGAGAACAACAAAACACAAGAATTTAAAATGTAAAAACATTTTTTAGAAAACATACACTGTACAAAAACAAATGTGAAGTAAATAATAATTACAAGAGAGAATAAAGCAAAACTCCGCTTTGAAAAAAAAAACTCTCCACTGAAACAAATATGTAAATAGAAATGTAAACAAAGCTTAAAATACAGCAAAAAAAAAAAATAACAATATAACGACAAGTAGAAATTTTAATGTAAATAGTGATTGAGAATTATAGGACAAAAGGAAACAGAAAAAAACAACTTTAATGTATCGGTATATTTAATTGTTGATGTTTTAATATTTTTATTAAAAGAAAATACATACATTTGCTGATTGTTTGATTGAAATGATTGTTTTGTTTATACTCTTGCAGATAATTATGCGCACCTAATACCTGTTAAAGTACATAACATACTATTGCTTGATGATAAAAATAGTACGATATAAATTGACCACAAACTAAATAAATTGATTTGTAGTTAAATAAAAATACCCTGGAAAAGTTTATGTGTGGTGTTGGAATAACTGATTATTATAGCCTGTTGTACTTGATCTATTTTGAACTGAATTAAACAGCTGTAAGCAAACATTAATTGATTTTAAAAAGCAGTCCCTCTTTAAAATTCGCAGAAACTTGATTAAAAATTTACCCTTATTATAGAGAAGACTACAGATATCTTTGTAGTCTAGACTTTAGTCTTGACCATAGAGCATTCTGCAGTGTTGACTACAGATCAGTCAATAGTCACATGAACACAAAGCATTCTATAATCTTAAGTATAGAATACTCTATAGTATTGAATACAGATCAATTAGAAATAGACTTTAGTTTTGACCATAAAGCATTCTATAGTTTTAACAATATATCACTCTACAGATTTGACTATAGATCATTCTTGAATAAAGTTCACTCTATAGACTTGACCACAGATCATTTTATAGTTTCACTGCAGATCACTCTATAGTTCTGACTATTAGGCAGAGAAGAATAAAAATTCTTAATTGTTTGTTTTATTGTTTAAAAAAAAATTGTTACGTACTTTGAAATATTCTTTGTTTGATGTTTCTCAAAATATTTTTTGATGTTTCTCAAAATATTTTTTTGGTTGATGATGATCGTTCTAGCTGGATCTTTTCTTGAAATTGTAGAACTTACTTTAAGGACACTATTTAATAACATTTGAAAGCTTTTCTTAATCAATTGTTTATAAAACATATAATAGAAAATACAATACAAAAAGTGTTAGAATTCCTCTCCAATAATGTTCCAGGAAGAACAGTAATTGACAGACCCCAAATAAATTTAGGGAACTTTATATTTTTATAACCTACACCACTATAGTAGGAAGAGTATTATGCGTTTGTGCTTTATGTTTGTAACACCCATAAATATTGGTCCTACACCCATCTTAAAGTATACCAATCGGCTCAGATTCACTTTTGAGTCGATTTAGCTATGTCCTTCTGTCCGTCCGTCTGTCTGTCCGTCTGCCTGTCCTTCTGCCTGTCCTTCTGCCTGTCCGTCTGTGTGTCCATGTAAACCTTTTGCGCACGCAATTTTCAAGATAATTTTATGAAATTTGACACATTCTCTACTTTTGACCCAAGTACGAATCCTATTAAAAAAAATGGTTAAAATCGGTCCATTATTTCGTATAGCCCCCATACAACCGTACCCCTGAATAGGGCTTTTGAGCTCATAAATATGTTAAATGTTCTGGTATCAATTAAAAAATCGGCAAAACTTAGTATTTTATAATTCTTAAAGTATACCAATCGGCTCATAATCACTTTCTGAGTCGATTTAGCTATGTCCGTTTGTCCGTTTGTGTATCCATGTACTTGTGCGCACTCTAGAGTTCACAAGATTTCGAGATAATTTGATGAAATTTGGCACATACTCATCTTTTGATCCAAGGACGAAGCATATTGTAAATCGTTAAAATCGGTTCATTATTTCGTGTAGCCGCATACAACCATATTTAGAAAATCCCTTTTTTGTCAACAAATTGTTAAAATATTTCTGAATTAAGGTATAAATTATATTAAATACTTTATTATTAAAAAATAACCAAAATTTTTAATATAATCACTGGTGTAGGTTATCATATGGTCGACCATGCTCGACTACAAATTCTTACTTGTTTTGTTTTTTCTATCTATCAAGACAATATCATACTAATAAATAAATTTTGTTACTTTTTCAGAATGATTTTTACTACAATAGATGATTCGGTCTGTCCTAAGAAGACTGTTAACTAGATGGGAAGATATCAGAAACTGCTACTGTAACAATTTAAGGATAAATTTATACATATATTAACATTATTTCTGTTAAATAACAAAAATAATTAATTGTTTGCAAATTTTTACAAAAATATTTGAAATTTTTACATATAATAGCAATTTTGTATGATTGAATTCAATTTGATAATTAAGATATATTAATATGTATTATATTATTAATCTTATTTATTTATCACTTATCTTTTATGTAGAATCAACACAATAAAATGTACATATGTATGCAAATTACCAGGCGCTTAGGAGAGTGTATTATAAATAGCAGTTACACGATTTATTTATGTATTTATTTTACCATTCCTTTTTATTACTTAATTAATATAGTTTACATAAAGCAAAAACAATTAAAATAAATAAAGAAAATAAACAACAGTAAAACAAACATATTTATTATCATGTTCTTTTAAATATTTCTTATTTTTAAAGAAAAGTATTTACAAAAGGTATGTATGTATTCACACATTTATTTGCATTTTGTCATCCACTTCCTTTTTATATACAACTAAATACGGGAATGTTAAAAAACTAATTATTCAAAAATCTATGAAAATACCAGGAGAAGAGAAATTTTAGCAGTCAACTTTATTACAAACATACACACATATATAATTTGTCTAAATAAAAACGTTAACAAAAAAGCTTTAGTTTTAAAATTTTCTAAAATATTAGGAGAACAAAAAAAGTAGTTAGCATGGAATTAAAACAAATATTTGTAAATAAAATGATCGTACTTTTTTTCTTTCTTCTTTCTCTTCTTAAGGAACATTTAAATATTATTCTTAAATTTAAAAAAAGTATTAGGATTACATAAATCCTAGTAGGCTTAATATCTTTATATACTTTTTTTCTTTTTTCATCTTAAGAAACCGTTATATGTTATACTAAAATTGAATAAAAGTATTAGGAGCTCATAAATCCAAGTAGGTTAATTTCTTTATATACTTTTTATATTTCATAAAGTTGGTAACTCTACTATAATTCTAGATTTTTGTAAATACTGAAAAAATACTAGGTAAACAGAAATTATAGGCTGATTTCTTAAGAAAATTATTGCTTTACTTCATGCTTACTTATTTATATTCATACTTACTTAAGTACTTAAGGGTAATGATTTTAGATTTCAAAATCCCACAAAAATACTAGGAGAACATAATATGTAGCAAGCAGCTTTTTTCATATTTTCTTTTATGTACATAATAGAGAAAAAATTAAATAAAACTCCAAAACAAAAGTAAAGTAGAAAATATAACAAGTAATCATAATGTTTAGCAGAGGACTTTTCCTAAGTTTTAAATAAGGAACACTGCTACTGTAATGTTCTCTTATACTTGTTATAATTACCAGGGAAACAGAAAATATAGTTAGAGTTAAATGATATTGCATTTCTTTAATTTTCACCTTGTTATTTAATAACACTGGTAACCCTATACAAGTCGTAGTTAATTTTTAAGTTTTCTTAAATTTCATGAAAATACCAGGCAATCAGAATTTTGCGTAAGCACTGCTTGTTCGAAGGAAATAGTTTTTACAAACCCAGGACGAAATATTTGTATGCTATTTTAAGAAAACAAGAAAAATGCTAGGAGAACATAAAATATAGAAAGTGATGTTTGTTTATTATTTGTTTATTTATTTTCTATTTAAAATACTCATACAGGTACAAAATAAACACTGAAAAATGAAAACAAATTAGAAGAAAATATAACAGGCTTTTATAATTTTTAGTAAGCAGTTTTAATTTTTATTTTCTATATTTTGTTTCAATTAATTTTCAATAAATAATATAAATAAAATTATAAACAGTCAATGCAAAATTGTTAAGTATCAACAGGGAAACAGAATAATAAGTAAGTAAATAAAAGTTATTATATATACATACATATGTATACACATACATTACTTTTGTTTGTTATCTATGTATTTAGAATGCTGTTAGCCTGTTACATACAAAAATTTTATGTACTTGCAATTAAACGTATGTAAAAGTAAAGAAACTATTAAAGTATTATACATACCAGGCTTTAAGAAATGCTCAGAAGAAGCTCAGAAATTAAAATAAAATTGTTTATGTTATTGATATTTTGTTTATGTTCTTTAAAATTTTATTTAAATTTTTTTCAAATTTATATTTATTTATTATAATTTACATTATATATGTATATAATAAATTTATTACTTATCTAGATACATATGTATGTATTTTTTATATTGATATAAACTCACAATAATTTAATAGTTCTTAATAAATTTTATTTAAAATAACAGGAGTACATAAATTCTAATAAGATTTTTATGATTTATGTATTTAAAAGAATTTTATATAAAAAAGAAGTTAAAAAACATACAAATCATTGCATCAAATATTGATAAATAAGAAAATATCATTATATACTCTCTTTCTCTTTTGTTTTATATTGCGTTTTTTACATATTCTGTCATATTTTATATACTCTATAATTGGTATAACTATACAATTTAATAGAAATGTGACATTTTTATATACTTATATATACACATAAGTTTGTCATGAAATCCTAATAGATAGCGGATGTATGTCCGTCTGTATGTTTATAAAAATTAGTTTTTAAAAGACCCCAGATATTTTCGAGAACCGAATCTTCAATAATTCCGTTAAACATACTTTCAAAAAGTTTTCTATTGAAAATCAGCAAAATCGGTTCATAACTAACTGAGTTAGAAGCAAAAATCTGCCACTAACTCTGAAAATTTCTTCAAAACTTATAAATAAAAACCTAGAAAAACAACAGCAACGAGATAAAGCTGTTATATTTGGGTAATACAGCTCTTATTTGTTTTGGGGTTGAAATTTGTTGGTGGTTAGGTAATACAGTTGAATTTCTTTCTGCTTATATTTGTTTGTTTGTGTGTATGTTGTGAGTGACATGTGTGCAGAGTGATAGGTCGAGTTGATGCAGATCTAAAATGTAAAATTATAAAAAAAATGCAAAAATAAAATAAATTAAAATTTTACAAAATCAAAATTAAATTCTTAAAAATAAGGAGTTCTTAGCTTATATACCCTTCACCATAGTGTACAAAAACAGTTAGTATGTAATAAAATTACAAGAAATTAAAATCAAAAAATATCAATAGGGAAACGAAAAAGTACCTGAAAGTCCCTCTTTTTAGAGATTTGAATGTTGGATTTTATGTTTCTATGTTCAATATTATAGTAAATCCCTAAGTACCTTTTGAAGAACGAAAAAGTACGAATAAGTCCCTTTTTTAAACATGTTCTCATTTACTTCGGGCTCTGCATGTTTAATTTCATAGTTCTAGGTTCAATATTATAGAACACGAAAAAAGTACCTTTTGAAGAATGAAAAAGTACCAGAAAGTCTCGTTTTATATGTTCTCATTAACTCCAGCATCTACATGCTTAATTTTATGTTTCTACGTTCAGTATTATAGAAAATTCAAAAGGTACCTTTTGATGAACGAAAGTACGAAAAAGTAAAGGTCCCCATTTTATATGTTCTATATATGTTTTACATGTTTTTAGGTTCAATATTATGGAAAATTCAAAAAGTACCTTTTGAAGAACGAAAAAGTACCAAAAAGTCCCATTTTATAGGTTCTCATTTACTCCGGGACCTACATACATGCTTAATTTCATGTTTCAAGCCAATAACAACACACAGTTTTATCCGAAACGAGTTTCTCTTGCACTGCTTTCATTTTATAAACAAGCAATTGCAAGAACAAAATTTACGGTATGATTATGTGTGTTGTTGTAGCTGGTTTATTATTATACCCTTCACTTTCGTAAGAAAGGTATGAATGTCGAAGTGCTTTACGTGAACACTTGCCGTATTGGTCTACCACTGTGAAGGTCTTTTTCTACGACTGGGTGAACTTCTTTGACAACTCACCACCGCCCCTCTGTATATCTTACACACGGGTGTCAATTTTTGTCCATGGTTCTGCTGGTCCATGTACAAGAACTTTGCTCAAGTACTCGAACTATCCAAATTGGGGAATGACAGGTGTCATGAGTCAAGCTCAATCTAAAGCCGACAAGGAAAAGACAATCATTAGTTTAGAGTCAATAGACAACGTAGCATCAAACCTGATTGATATTATGACTAATACTCATAACACTAAAGCCTTCACATCAGCCCAATATGAATTGAGGTGACCTCCTAAATCGACCAACTATTAACAACTTCGCCAACGTCTCAACAAAATCTTCCGCCACTTTAAACGTCACTCCATCTGACATTTCGACTTGTTCACAGATACTACTCAGAATCCATCTCATTCATCAGATATAAGTATCCGATATATAAATAATATATATTCTGGATGCTTATAGATAGCAGAGTCTATTTAGCCCTGTTCTTCTGTCTGTCTGTGTGTATGTTAAAATCAGTTTTCATAAGATGTTATATACTTTAACAGGTATTAGGTGCTCATAAATTTCTGATAGAGAATAAACAAAACAATCATTTCAATCAATCAGCTTTAAAATATTTCTGTACATATGTAAATAAATATACATACATACATATGTATGTATTCTCATTTAAAAATGTTGAAACATCAACAATTAAATATATTGATACATTAAAATTTTTTGTTTTCTTTTGTCCTGTAATTCACTATTTACATGTTGTTATTTTTTTGCTGTATTTTAAGCTTTGTTTACATTTCTATTTAGTTGTTTCAGTGGAGAGTTTTTTCAAAGCTATATTCTCTCTTGTAATTATTATTTACTTCACATTTGTTTTTGTAACGTGTATGTTTTCTAAAAAATGTTTTTACATTTTAATTTCTTGTGTTTTGTTGTTCTTTTTTTGTTTTTCAGTGATCAACAAGAAGTACATACATTGTACATAGGTACAGTTTCTCTGCTTAATATTTCTCTGTATGAATAATGATGTAAAACAGAAATTACAAAAAACTTAATTTTACAATTATGTATACCCTTCACCTTCATATGTACATATGTATGTATGTTGTCATTCTATTTGTAATTTCTATAATATAATTTTCGGATCCTATGAAGTATATAAATATGGGGACTTTCATGTCAAGTGACCCTACTCAAAAAATCCATTTCGACGAAATATTGGATAGTAGGTTAGATAGTAGGTTTCAGCTCTATTAGTCAAGAACTGCCGAACTTGTTGGACATTTTGGTCATACAAGGTTTTATTCAAATGTGTGTAACTTTTTAGTTCAGATAGCTGTTGACCATATGCATATTCCGAGTCCTGATATCTTCTAAATCTTCAACAATACTCTCAAGCATGCCTACGACAAGTTTCATATTTTAAATCAGTAAAATTGGTTTTTAAATAACATAAATAGGATCAAAAATCAAAGACAAGTGAGAACCTATGAAAGGGG